TCAACATTCCCAGCACCGTAATCTCATGAGGATTTTCGGTGAGCGGGATAGTTGTGGAGTGCGTGGCACCGCAGTATCAAATCATCAAAATACGGCTTAGATTTCCTTATTGATAGCAGTTTTCATTTAAAAACAGTGTTAAGAATGAGGAATTTGCGGTGATGATCAATTTTTTCGAAGTGATTAGTCACAGCCTTGTACAATTTATTAATTCATCAAAACACCTGCAAAGGTTTCGGCTTCTGCGACAATTTGGGACGACCGGTTTAAGGACGCGAAGTGACATCATTGAAAGATACTGGGCGGCTTGGGACTTAAGGTTCAGTTGTTTTCTAGGTATTACAAATATATACGATTGAAAAAAGCCCCTATACTGGAAATTTATTCACGGAAGTTCCCACACTTTTACAGCGGATTATTTTTTGCGCACGTAGTCCTTCACGACACCTATGCACTTCTAACTGTAATGTTACCAAGAAATAGTTTAAAAACTTCAATTATGCTCACGTTACTTTTTCATCTTGAAATGGTGAATCTCGCTCAGGTGATTTCAAAACTGGTCTAAAATATGGTACTTGTAAGCACGAACTGAATTTAACTGCACTACTACAACGATAGCAAGACACTTTCATCCATCCGAAGCAGTACGCAGCCCCCACTCCCACTATGCCCCGCCCTACCCCAGACCAGTATAAGTGGGAACGCGGAGCCAACAACATCACAGCAGGCAACGCTACCGGTTACCTACCGGTTATTTCATCCTCTGCGGCGGGTGTACTTTGTGGTGTGAAAAGAAATACCACATCTTATTGTTGTAGTTCGACTTAATCCATGGTGTCATTGTGAAGTAGAATTTCCAGTCTTAAGGTAAACCAACCGGCGATTTATTAAACAGTGAAGATCCAACGATTAAAGGTGCCATGCAATTCATCCTTTCTCGTTAATTGGATGTCTGAGGTTCATCCATCGTGGATTTGTCAACACCGGAAGTTCTACGCTTTTTATGCTAACTTTTTCACTACGTGCACTCTAATTTACGTCGTTGTACAGTAATGATTCAAAAACATGTCAAATAAAGTGAAGCCGAACATCGCGCGAGGTGGCAAAGGCAGAATGTCATTTGTAAGATCAAATGCTTGGTAACTATGAAGTTGAACCACTGTACCGCTTCACGATTGGTGAACATATACGGTAAATCTACCGAACATCTGGAATTTCATACTCGCTAGAAGGCTCCAGCTATATTTTCAAAATTAGCAGCAGCAGTAGTGAGTCTTGCTTTGGATAGCAAAACATTCTGGACTTTAATATAGCATCAGAGAAAAGGAACAACGCTTTCGTAGTTTAGAGCTGTTCAAGATGTAAAATCTATTTCTTCTTCACGAATTTTTAGCAGGACAGTCTGTCAACCAATTTAAATATTTCATTAATTCCCTATTCGTTATAGATTACAGGTGTATTCAGTTATTTTAGCGTTGATTGTATCTCAGAGACTTAATGTTGTCGACGCCAATATTTCATTGTTCGAACTCTCTTGAGATCATGATGCTTTCGAAAAACTCACTTAAATTCTACTTGACCAACCTGTTAGCAAGTAACCGCACTAAGATAAACTTCCTTCTACAGCCAACCGGTTTACAAGAAGGCATAATCATGGGCCAACTTCAGATGTTGGTGATTGATAACTGCGGGATTGTACTACAAAATCGAGAAACAGTAGTCCTGCCTTAATTTTACTGATCATAAATTGGCGATCACATTTGTGAAATGACACTTAACGATATAAATTTGTTTATAGAATTCGACTTTGTGCTTGATTAAGCTCGTTGCACTCGACTCGACTAGTTGGTCGGCGTCACAGGATTCGCATTCATTACAGGAATCCTTGACGGCCGCAAGGCAGCAAATTTCTCTCCAATTTAGTGTTGCTGATAGTGGAAACATGGGAACGCCTCAGCACGGCTCTTTTGGGTTTCCAGGTAATACAACGTCCCACCAGCACTCAACATTTCAACGAAGAGAGAAGACAGCAGCTTCAACTTTCACGTAAAATCACACTCGAGCTCAACCAGTAATGTGAATGATTATTGTAAAACAAGAAAGCTAATGTTACAAGTGTCGGGGCTCGTACGACATCTGGAGGCTAGTCAACTTACTATCGTAAATGCAAACTACAATATTAGAAATGCTACTTAGGCAAAAACAAACAAAACAAATAGAGTAACGAAATGGAGCTTAGTTGATAGCCCAACCAGCAGAAAAAAAAGGGCACTAATATAACGAGTTACGGTGCACTATTAAAGAGGCCGCAACTACCTGAAAAGTTTGCTAATAACAGTACGTGATAGCGGTGGAGGTGTTGATGTTACCGTGAGGTTTTGCGCATCCGCTTTTAACGCCAGTTTTAAAATATTTAAAAGGTCAAATTTAGTCCACAAATGAGTGAAATCATTACCCACTATTGCTTACGAGAATTAATTGAATCTACTGTTCTATAAAATCTGCAGACTTACTACTAGCGTGGGCACGAAGAGTTGCATTAGACATATGCAGCACCGGCCATGCGGACCAACATCAGGGAATGAGCCCGTCTCACCGTCGCTCGCATCATGCGATCAACCGCTTATATGATATTGCTTTTCACTGATTAGCTTTTTATGTGGGATGACAGTTAGTAGAAATATTAATTAGCAGCTCAATGGTTTACGGCCTCATTGTGGATGGGAAGTGTTCCTTAGTCGGGTTGCGATGTAGAGCGAGGGAATTCATCCACAGCAGGGTCTCCCATGCCTGAAAAGCGGTCCGGTGCTTCCATCAGGAAGCCCAGCTGAAAGTAATCCAATACTAGGATCCTATCAAACTAGTTCCATGGTGGAAATCTTCCTAAACAGGGCGGCGACTGATAGTGGTGACGACCTGGCGCAGAATTTGGCCTGGCTGACCGCGGGAACCAGTGAACCACAATGGCTGAACCAACAAAACTCAAACAAAGTGGAAATTATACGGAATCCCGAACAACCAGTGAAGACGGGGCATGCAAGTATCCATGTATCCAGACAATAACCAGCGGATACAGGAACGAGTGTGAGAATAAACGGCTACAAAAAATAGCTCTTAGAAATAGAAGCAAAGGAATAGTGGCAATAAAATATTCGGAGAAAGGGACCGTGCTGTCCATTGTTGAGTTGACGTTCATTCTTGATTCATCAATCAGTCATTCAATTGATCCACAGACAATCTTGTTTATCCCGAAGGTATTCGCGAAGAGAAGAAAAAACGCTGAACCCGCCGTGGTAACAGTAGTTGTCTAATTGTTCTTTTGATATCCAAATTCAATTAATGACGTATACATCTACAGATTACTATCACTTGAGTGAGAAACTTTTTTCGTTCACTTTGGAATGATACGTTAAGGAAAACTGATTCTTAACCTAAGTCGTTCATTAGGTTGACTTGCCGACCTAGTTAAACTCAGCTAGATCATTCGAGCATATTCGTTCGGTTGAACGTTGAATGGGGCATACGAAACCATTCCTCGCAAACGTCGTTTTCTGAGACTCAGGTGAAGACCAATCTTTCCAGAAGCATTATCAAGGTCAGCAAGCGTTCACTCCGCCTGACTTATGATTAGTATTGTAGGAACGATGTCACCAACAAAGCGAAGATGGTGGTGGTATTATTGATCATTGATTTTCACTCCCATGTGGTCCCTTTCCAATGTTCTCATGGCATTCTTAACCTTTTTTATTTTGGGAAGAGTGGGAAGCCACCGGAAGTTCAGCTATTGTAGATTAATAAATGCTCTAATGACAGCCTCTTGTTTCTTCATCAAGAAAAGCAATGAAAAATCGGTCAGATGCCAACTATGTTGGGATCTGCAGGATTCCACGTGAATTCTAGGCTTCCAGACATTCGTGTGAGTGGGATGTTTGATGGAATTATTTCAATTTCATCAATGTATTTTCGCTTATAATATTTCGAGAGGATAAACACTTGAGGTTTCCTTGGTGAATAGCATGGATAGAGTAAAATGTGGCTGAGAGAAAGGCAATGCAACGGTCAGGGTTGGTGTAGTGGCTAATACGTGAACCTCCGCAAGGGTAATCGCGGGGTCAAAGCTCAACTGAAATTACGAACTTTTCCCATATTTTAGCATCCTCATGATTGTACTCGAGACATTTTGTTTGACCTAATCACGTTCCATGTTCATGAATAAGTTCTGTGTTTCTACTTAAAAGTGATCTACTACTGATCGACGTAGATTTGACCCTGTGACGATCAAACTTGAGGATAGGTCAGATTTAGGTCGCATATCGTATTGGGTATGGTTTAATAATAAACGGTCATTTCCATAATGGTGGAGACAATTCGGCGATAAAAGAGCTAGCGTTTCTGACATGCGAAATCAATAAAATCAGTGAAGTTTCTTCTTTATGACTTTTCTAATCAATCAGTAGGAATCAATAGCTATAAATGTGCAGTTTAAACATACTACGCGCTTAGGTAATGAATGAAAACTATCAGTTATTTGACTTTTAATGAGGGAATTTCGCTAATTATTCGTAATATTGCAAAACTAAGAATCTATACATTACACAGTTCCTACAGTTCCCACTATTTTTCTTCATCGTTCGATTCCACTGTACTTGGCGGCCGAGGTCAGACGAGTTCATCACGGGTCATTGAGAAAATCAAACAAACGTATAATTTTAGTTACGGAACAGGTGCCTCGGATTAGTGTTGACGTCCTGGTACATTAGAGTTTAAAACACTGACAGGATTTGGTTTGTGAGTTAAGTGCGGAAAATTAGAAAATCAAGCATTGTGGTAATATCTCTGAGGCGATCTTCGGACGTTCGTCTTTTGTCCTGAGTATAACTCGAGGCGACGAGGAACCGCCTGGAACAGCGGCCCCTTGTTGATTGCCGACATCAATCACTGAGTTCTCCGAGTGATTACGGGTGCTCCGCCCATTCTGAAGCTCATTCTGCTGATCGACAATGCTCTGGACAGCATTCGTTTTTCTCTTCGCCCTCTGCCGAGCGGAAGAAATCATTGAGTTACCTGGAGTTGCTTTTGAAATCAACTTCAGGCACTATTCAGGATTCTTCAAGGTCTCCGACACTCATCGTCTCCACTATTGGTCACTTTTCTATGCTATATGAGAATTTTTTTCTTAAAACAACAAATTTTAAGCTTTCGCAAACTCTGTAGCTTGAGAGATATATATCTGTTTTGTATAGATTTGCGAGGATATTCAAGGAAAAAAACTTTACTAACTGAAGTAGGGTGCAGTAACCAAATGAAACCTATTATTCAGAAATATTCACATTTGAAACAACATGAGCTTATTTTATTCTTATCCAGAAACCAATGAATATTTTAGGTTTGTCGAGTCACAGAATAATCCTGGGAAAGATCCGCTTATCTTCTGGTTCAACGGTGGTCCAGGATGCTCGTCATTGGATGGTCTACTGAACGAAATGGGACCTTATGTAGTGAATCCCGACGGAAAAACTTTAAGGAAGAATCCTTACTCATGGAATCAGGTGTATAATGTCACTCTTCTTTAAAAACAGTCCTCTGTATCGATGGTGACAAGAATGAATTACGCTACTTCTTAATAGAAGAATCATCGTTATTTCTTGTCTTTAGCAGATGTTGGTTGTTGCTGCTCTTTCGATAACGGCTTATGATTATTTGACAACTAAATGAATTGAGGAATTAAATAGCTGACAGAAGTATGGAAGAAAATTTATCGTCTTGTTCTAGAAGTGTTGACATGCCACATCTTTCTATAAGTCCGGTTGCTTTCCTCAAAAATGGCATTCATTGTTTCAAAATCGACTTTCCTTTAACCTCGGTATGACTAATCAATATGTATTCTTTCTGTAATTGATCAAAGAAAGAAATGGCATTCTATTTTTGACTTTATTTAAAGTATGAGTTTTCAGAACGTTGAAAACGAAATTTGAATTCCTAACACACCCATGCTAAGCCAAGTAACGTCAAGCTTAAACGGTATATTGGGCGACAAGACATGGCTTCAAAAAATATCCTTTATGGGTTTTAAAAAAATAACACTAACGATTTCTAGAATATGATTTCTTCATCGTAGAAAATAAAAAGGTGAAACTTTAAATCTGCCTGCATGCGTTTCATTGGCCTTTAGTTGAAAGCGGAATTATTTCCAGCCACGTACGAGCTGAAATCAATTCCTACCGTCCATGATGTGTTAGCAAATTGTTGCACAACTCCATCTCATGAGTGGAATGAAAATTGTTGAAGGAAATTTGGAATAATACAGTTGATATTCAGATGGCGTCAGTCGTCTACATCGAGTCTCCAGCAGGTGTTGGTTACTCGTATGCTACCGACGGAAACATAACCATCAATGACGACCAGACATCGTTGGAAAACTATGAGGCTGTCAAGCAGTTCTTTGAGGTTTTCCAATTGCTTAGTTGTTTGGTTCCTTGACTCCACTAGAAAAACTAGCTGTTTGGACCAAACAAGGAAAAGAATTTATGATTTAATGGCCCTAAGAAACTTAAAAGTTAAAGAAATTCGAAACAAACCGAACCAATCCTTGCTCATACTTTTTTATCATGTCATCAGCTATTTAATAGAACTGCAAACGATATGCGCAAATGAGAGAGTAGTTAAAGGTGCCCAAGAACACAGATAGTTATTTGTTTGATCGCTGACTAGCGATAACTTAGTCTCCATTTCACCACGGCCAGCAACTGTCAAATCTGTCCGGGAGGATAAAGCCACTGATGTGATACATGTCTAAATCCCAGGAAGGCATTCTGATGCGCCACGTATGCATTTAGTCACCTATTAATGGAGCCATATACGTGGCACATCCCTAAGAGATAGATTGAGCTTTATCCCCTTCATTTATCCGTCGTCCTTACAGTAAGTGCCTGATTAATAATAAGATTCAATTTCAGATATTCCCACAATTTCGAAACCACGCCACCTATATAATGGGTGAGTCATATGGCGGTGTGTATGTTCCGACATTGACAGCGAGGATCGTGGACGGACAGAAGGAATTTCCAGTTAATCTAAGAGTAAGTTTTTATTTATTTGGAACTTTTCATGAACATAATTTCAATAATTGGCGGTCTGCCGTAAAAGAAATCGCGAAAGGAAACTGAAGACGGCGGAGTAATCTTTGTCAGAAGGTCTGAGAACCACATCATTATTCAGGAAGACCTGAGATGGTCGCCATTTAGGGAATGGCTCTTGGTAACGGATATGTGAACGAGAAACTGAATATCGACACCTCCATTCGATATGCTTATGGTCATGGAATAATCGACGAAAAGACTTGGAACACTATGGAAAGAGAATGCTGCAAAGGATGTATTGACACTTGCGATTTTACTAAGGTACGGGTAATGATAGCCGGTCGCTTCCGTCGTATTTCAGCTTCCTGAAAAACTTTAGGTTTCTGGACACTGTGTGAGTATGGTAGAGGATATCTTCCAGTTCTTGTGGGCTGGTGGACTCAATCCTTATGATCTATACAGAGACTGTGACCCTAATCCATCGATTAATAGCGAGAGGATGACACTAATGTTGAGAGGTGCGGCTTTTGTTTGAATTGTAGACAGAAATAGGGCAATAATTAAAGATACTTGTTTCACATGGCTTTGTGCAGCATCTAACATATATATATATATATATATATATATATATATAATATCCGAGCACACAATTGATAAATGACTCCCTACACATTATGGTACAAAAAACTAAGCATTAATTAAATCATGTGCTCATTACAGGAGTCGCAGCTGACTTCGAATCGATCGGAAAACACAAAAAGAATGAAAGCGTCATGAGTTTTCTTCGGGTTAGTTTGCTAGTAATTATTTCCTACAAGGTCTGTCGAAACGGTAGTTCATAATGGGTTCACGTTTTACACCACAAGTGGCGTGTGATCAGTATCCAGCCGTAGAAGTCCCGCCAATGGTCATCATGGACAAACACTCCCCAAAAAGTCGTTTTTCTTCTCCTCTAGCTGTTTATCACTATTAAACGAAACGTTTTTTAAGGCAAATGAACCACTATTTGGTGATGCACCGTGTCTCAACGACTCGGATGTCATTACATATATGAATGATTATGAAGTGAGAGCAGCCCTTAATATTCCGACTGGTCTTTCCAGATGGGATATATGCAGGTAGAATTTGTCATTTCTACAGATGTGCTCAAAAAAGTGCTAAGTCACTTTTAATTTCTTTCTCATTTGCATTCGATAATCCATACAGGGGGTTCCGGTTTCCCAACAACTCCTTATTGACAAGTCCGATTTCGATTTTTCTTTAAGTGACAGACGCGGTGAAAAATTGTAAGCAATGGAAAACTAATTAAAGTAGAACTGGAAGGATCTTGACTAGGGAGACCAATGTTATACTGTCTCCTTCTTTACAGACAGGAAGTTAGCTTATTTTAGATCTGACCGTAATTCTACGTACCTATGAAGATGTTAATCTCTAATGTTCCATTCTTCAGCTTGTAAACCAATATATACATAACTGCGATGATGGGCGTGTTTCTTGGAAAACCATCTCTAGATAATCTTTGTTTTCTATGAAGGAAGTGAGTTAAGAATAATTCAGCAATCAAGTGACTACCACCTATCAGAAGCAGTACGGCGACATGGCGCCCTTTGTGAAGAAGATCGTTGCAGCAAACGTTCGAGTACTTTTGTACTATGGTGACACAGATATGGCATGCAATTTCATGATGGGTCAACAGTTCTCATATCAGCTCGGTCTTAAAGTAAGTATGCTGCCCAGTAACATTCCTAACAAAGACCAAGGTGAAGTCTTAATATCTTCGTAATAAAAGCCTGTACAGTTTTAGATCTACTCTTTCGTATATATTAATTATACAGTTGAAAAACTCGCTTGATGGTGGCGTATACAGAATATAGTAACTAGTGCTCTCCCAGACGACGGAAGTTTGCAATTTACGGGAGGAGAATTCGTTGATATCCTCACAGTTCTGAGGGAAAACGAAATGTTTAGATGCGTAAGTATATCTAGGGAGGCTCTTCGATAGTTTGCCGTCTCAGTGAACTTCAGAGGTGTCAATGTGTGTTGAACTGCGATGTGTAATTCATGGCTACTTTATCGCCAACAACAGAAGAAAAAGGGTGAAGAAGGAAAAAGTAGAAGCAAAGAAGTTTGATGCTCTCTGTGACCCTCCCGAGAAGCGAGCCCATTGGCCAGCTCTGTTGCACGGTAAAAACAAATGCAGTGGAGTATACAGTATACAATGCCTGCTCGAGTTATTCGATGAGCAGATTATACTCGTGAAATAGACGGAACGGTCTTAACTCTTATCTTAAGCAGCTCCGTGTTTGACACCAGCAAGTTGCTTATACTCGCTTTCAGATATTTAGAAGAAGGTTCACGGAACCGCTAATGGAGTGTTAGGAAGGCAATTTATTATATTAGCAATCATTTGATGTTTAGCGAACGCTCGGCAAGATACCGTGGAAATTCGATCGCCAAATAGCCGGTTTTAAAACGCTTTTCGATGGACTAACGTTTATCACAGGTACTAAATGATCTGATGGAATTCCAGGGAGAAAAAACTTCTTTATTTCAGTGCGAGGAGCTGGTCATATGGCACCACAATGGAAGGCGCCTGAAATGCATTACGTCATTCAACAGTTCCTCCGTAATCATCCGATCTGAAATCATTCCGTTGAATAAACTTCTTTTATCATTCTGAATGAAACACTTCTATGGAACTGCGATATCAAGACGTCAGACGTGCTGATGCCAGAGAATTCAAAATCGATAACAGTTAAGCAGTGGATTTGTTAGTTGGCAGAATGAATACAAAGGTAGAGTACAGAATAGACTAGTTAGCTGAATAGTGGTTACTATTTTCGCGTTTTCGCCTTCTTCAAAGTCTCTTTGATCCGAGTTAATTCTCCCAAACTGGTCGTTGCTGTAAAACGGGTGTTCGTAGTTGTATCGAATGGAATTCGGTAGAAGAGTTCTACTCGAATGGTGAGCTTCACTCGATAATTCTCTCTTATAAAGGAAGGGTGTTGGGCTGTAGCCACCCAGTATGATACATTTTTTGATGCGCAGTGGGTCCTGGTGAAGTCGGTACCTCATTTGGTATCACGTAGCTTGGCAATGTGTTAAAAAGTGATGCTTCCGTTCAACCGGTACTTCCTCTGTCAGATTCGAATCGGTGCGACTGCGATTCGCGTAAGCTTTTCAATAAACTAAAAACCCCGTACACCATGTTCATAATTTTTCTAATACGCCATACTTTATTTTTAACTTTTAAATGCGACTTTCATTTATTGAACCACTTCATGGATAACGAATGTGTTGGATTACTGACAAGCCTAAACGAGGTTGTTTTCAAAGTAGGTGGCTCATTCAAAAGTGGGCAGTCGTGGACGCAGAATATTGGAACGAGAAAGTATGAACATCTGATTTCGCTAATGATCGTCCATACATAGACAAAATTCGAAGCAAAATTCAATTTTTTTGAAATTTCTAGAATAACTAGAACGCGTAAGTAGCATTTACAAAAATCAGGGACGCGTTGGGAAAACCATGTGTTTTTCTGAAGAAATCTCGAAATCTCTACATGCTTTTGTATTCAAAATATGAGATACTTCCAAATTTTCTAGGAAATGACTTCCTCTGGTCTTATCCTTCTATTTTGAGACTTTAGGGGCGGATAGCCTAGTGGTAGTGATGCCAGTCATCATGAGCATGGTGCTAGTTCGATTCCGCCCCGGCCCAACCAAGCCTTTGATTCGTCCGGGGTCGGAAAATTCGTACCGGACTTTCCCGGGAAAAATCACTCTTTGCAATCCAGTTGGGAACGCTCCAGCTCGGCTATCTCTGGACTCCAGGGAGATTCTACGGCATTTACGACACTTAAAAGCTGGAGGATCTTCGTGGACAATGAATGCGAAGAAACGAATCGAACGTGAGAAGTGCTAGGGTCTGCACAACAGACATGAAGGCAAATCGTATAAAATAAAAAAATTGAAAATTTTGTGAGTTCCCAGAAACCTTTTTCAGTACTCCGAGGTACATTTTTCAATCAAGAAAACGAATGATCCAACAGGATTTCGCCACGAAGGACGAACTGGAATTTCGTAGTGTTTTCTTAGGCTTGCAGGTCTCGGTGTTTCCTGAACACAATTGTTGTCATAAAGCCAAGTTTTTTCTACAAATGTATAAAGTATTAAAATACACTATTGATGGAAAAATTGTTCTCAGTTGTCTGCGCACACCATTGACTAATGATGCATCAGAACTATTCCCACTCTTACAAATAGCTTACACAATGTTGGCTTCATCATACTGGTAATATTGTATTAGTTTATTGCTTACGTAAAACCTTCATTATCCAAGAGGAACAAGCTCTGAATATAACAAGCGAATGATTTGTATGGGGAAATAGAGAGTAAACTCAACAGACACAAGCGAACAGCCTTGAACTCGTCGGGTTGAACTTCATTAAGGTGGGGACATCACCCGTCAGCACTTTTTTTTAGGACCCGACGTCATGTGCTCATCTGGTGACCGTCGACAAAAGTTCCATTGCAGCCCCTTATCAATGTAGCCGACTGCCCTTCACAGGCCCTGAAACTTATAGGGTACCACCTACATATCACACATCTTTCAGTTGGTCGGCCCAAAAACAGATCCATCGTCGACAATGGGGTAGATACGCAGTAACCACTATTCAGCTAACTAGTCTATTCTGTACTCTACCTTTGTATTCATTCTGCCAACTAACAAATCCACTGCTTAACTGTTATCGATTTTGAATTCTCTGGCATCAGCACGTCTGACGTCTTGATATCGCAGTTCCATAGAAGTGTTTCATTCAGAATGATAAAAGAAGTTTATTCAACGGAATGATTTCAGATCGGATTATTAACGAGGAACTATTGAATGACGTAATGTATTTGAGGCGCCTTCCATTGTGGTGCCATATGCCCAGCTCCTCGCACCGAAATAAAGAAGTTTTTTCTCCCTGGAATCCCATCAGATCATTTAGTACCTCTGATAAAAGTTACTCCATCGAAAAGCGTTTTAAAACGGGCTATTTGGTGACCGAATTTCCACGGTCGCTAAACATCAAATGATTACTAATATAATAAATTGTAGATCGATAGAAATAGCTGAGAGACGTGCGAAACAAAGGACCCGCATGGTGTGGTGGTGAACGCGTTACTCCCCGGAAAGGACAATAGCGCGTTCGTTCCCCACCATAGACACCTGCGGTCCAGAGTTTTGCAAATATCTCAGCAACGTTGTGGTTGTATTTCGCTTACTTAGTAACCTGTCATGAAAATTATAGAAGGCAGAAAACAAAACGTTAAACATAATAAATTGTCTTCCTAACACTCCATCAGCGGTTCCTTGAACCTTCTTCTAAATATCTGAAAGCGAGTATAAGCAACTTGTTGGTATCAAACACAGAGCTGCTTAAGATAAGAGTTAAGACCATTCCGTCTATTTCACGGGTATCATCTGCTTATCGAATAACTCGAGCAGGCACTGTATACTGTATACACCACTGCAATTGTTTCCACCGTGCAACGGAGCTAGTCAATGGGTTCCCTTCACTGGAGGGTCACAGAGAGAATCAAACTTCCTTGCTTCTTCTTTCTTCTTCTTTTGCCTTTTACACGCAACACAACATTAACAATGTGACGATATACAGAAAGGTGAAGGATATAAATGCTTGTAGCAAAAAGGAGCCTTGGTAGGGAGAACTGCCAGAGAGGTGTGGAGAGGACCAAAGAAGACTGCGGAAGACGGAGACCGAAACTGAAACTAACTAACGTATTGAGAAAGCTGCTTACGTACGTACTATGATGGGCGGAATTTAACTAGAGTAGCGAGGAAACAGTTTTCAAGAGGGGTGAGAGAACTTTGCTCTTTGGACACGATTTAGCAGTAATATTTTTGGTTGGGAAGACCGTAAATGCAAGACAAGTGCATTCCCGGATGAAGGGTTGAGAAAGCAACAAATACACTTTTTGTTGAAAAGACCGTAACTGCAAAACAAGTGAATGTTCCAGTGAGGGGATCACAAGCAATACGTGCATTTTTAGTCATGAGATCAGAAGTGCATGAAAAGTGTTAGGATCAAGTATCAAGTAATTTTAGTCACTCTGATAATCAAAATCTATAATTTTTTATTAGCTGCCTACTACAATTTTTCACAGCAGGTTTTGAGGTGAAATATAGCCACAGTGGTCCTAACATATTTGCAAAACTTGGACATCAGGTCAGATCGAACCACGACTTCTCTTTCGGGGGCTCGAGCATTACACATTACGCCAGAGCGGCTTTTGCTGTGCGTTTCTGTCAGTTAGTTTTCTATCTACCAGTGCCATCAGCAATCACCCGTCAGCGGGATTGATCTGGGGAGCCCACATCGGCATTCAACACATTTAAGCTGAGACTGTAGTCGAAATCATAATGTTTACTTTTTCATTTACTGTCTACTACAATTTTCAATATCGGTCAATCTTGTTGCGGGTGATTGCTGTTGGCATTGGTAGACAAAAAGCTAACTGGGAGAGACGCAGATCAAGGGCCTCCGTGGTGCAGTGTGTAATGCGTGAGTCCCGGGAAGAAAAATCATGGTTCGATCTGGGCCGAGGTCCAAGTTTTGCGAGTATCTCAGCACCGCTGTGGTTGATTTCGCATAATATCCTGTCGTGAAAATTGTACTAGGCAGTAAATAAAAAAGTAAGCATTGTGACTTTATGATATTTTAACAATTCGTTTCATTCTTACAGTATTAAACTTAGGTTATTTGCTTTAAGGGACTGCGCATGGTCGAGACCGAGACTACTCCTCGAATGCGATGTGGAAGTTAGTTGTGTTACGCTTTGATTGTTTAATTATCTTAGTCTTCGTAGAAAATCAATCATGAGCAGAAAAACTACGGCAGTCGCTACAATGCAGGAAGAAACGTTGCTAGTGGACGAGAAGCGTTCCTAGGACTTGGCGAGTGTCGTGTTAGAGATTTGAGGACGCCTCAGCGCTCTGAAAAACTAGGGTTCTAACTAATGAAACTTTCCCAGCCAGTAAGATAACACTCTACTCGAAATTGTATTCAGGTCTCCATGTTTTCGTACACATGGCATGAAGAACGGCTTTCGATATGTCGAAGTTTTTGCTGTTGCGAAAACTGTTGACTTTTTGGCTATCCAAGACAGAAGACATTATACATATTGAGAGCATCATGTGAGAAGACTGGAAAACGTCTTCACTTTGTTCACTTGTAATCGATATAAACCGACGGTTTTTGTAACTTTCTGTACAAGGGAGCCACTTGTGTATTGTCAGTGATATTGGTTGATGTTTACCTGTTCAATCTGATAAGAATTGATAGAGAGTCATCTGTGTACGTTTTCCTTCCACTCCTTTCTTTCTAACGACTTTGGATTCGTACCATTGGTGACTGACACTCTCATCCTTCCACAACCTCTTCTGTCCTTCCAAAAAGATATACGCGATAAGCAACAGTTCTCGAACCCAGAGGCATTGCCAAATTTCCTTGACAATATTGTTGAAATCATCTTCTGCAATCCTTTATTAGTGTCGCAGTCTACCCGTTGGTTTCAACTAAGGAAATTCTTGGTCTCGAGACTTTTTAAACGCAAATTTTTGAAAAAAAAAAAGCAGGGAGTACTTAAGAGTATCTTGCCCTCCAAAGAAGATTAGATTCTCAGCCAGCTGAATGTAAGCAGTGCATCAACAAAGAAGCATTTTTGTTCTCGTTCATCTCTAAATTCCACATCGCATATCACATGGGCTTTATCAAAATTGGAATCAATGGCTTTCGAATGTTGTAAACATTAAACAAGCCCAATGCTATCATTATTATTGTTTTTATCATTGTTATTAGTACTATCATTCACTCGAATACTTGGATGCTTGGACGGTCCGCCCTTACTTCTTGTGCGGACCTCAGCATATTCTCCATTTCTCGCAGTAGTGCTGGTTTAGCTGTTTCACTGGAATCCCAAGTTCAACCTGGCGAAAGTCTGCCCCAAGTTGTGACCACCACAGGTAGTCGCCGCCCTAGTGGATCAGAGGGAGATTTGCCACCATGCAACTAATTTGGTACCAGGACGGTGACAGATTTTGGTGTTGGTTCACTCTTAGCTGAGCTTTCTGACGGGAACGCCAATCTTCTCAGCTTGGGAGACGCTGTCAGGGGGATGAATCCCCCCGCTGTACATCGCAGCCCGACAACCAGGAACACCTCCCACTGACGATGAGGCCGTAAACCGTTAGGAGGATTAGTATTATTAATCTGCGGCTACTTTGTTTCGAAAGTTTCCTCACATTTATATTTCCACGTAGTATATTGGTTCAGGTATTTAATAAGAACAGTTGGATTCGTTGTCGAATATGTGTCGTTTTTAGTGCTTGCGTCTATTCTAGAAATGTCCTGTGAATATCACACTTTGTGTTCAGATGCGTTTCTGGCAAATCGTACTGCTTGACGTGCTGCTGTGCTTGGTCGGCTGCTTGGCGATGCGCAAGCAGGGCGTAGCCGTCCGCGGACACCTATTGTGCGGACTGCGCCCGGCCAACAACACCAAAGTCCGTATTGTCGACATCGACTACGGTATGCTACGTTCTAAACTTCAACTACATAGGGCTGTTCCTGCTGCACTTCAGCAACCGTAAGAGCGTAAGAGAATTCGGCGTTGACCAATCCCTTAGGTGTGTTAAGCGTTCTACTGCAAAGCATCGTGATGGTGAATGAATGCATATCTGGCCGGAACGATGAGCGGCTTGGTTAACCCAAGGTGTGAAATCGAACCATAGATAAACCCTGTGTGTATTTAAGGGCTTCTCTGACTACAGCACTGCGCATGCCCATTAGCAATTCTACCTGCTTTAGATCTTTCTCTTTTTATAATCATGGCGATGTAATAACACATTATGGCGCTGGAAATGTTGAAAATAAAGCAGAAGAATCACTTTAGGACTAGATCCGGATGATACCTTGGACGAGAAGCGTGTAGACGAAAGTGGCCGTTTTGAATTGAGTGGAACGACTCACGAACTGACACCAATTGATCCCGTACTGTACATTTGGCATGAGTGCAGAGATGAAAAAACAGTGAGCTCGCAAAGTTCAATTCCCCTGAGTTTGAGAGCTGTCAATTACTTTATCTATGAAAAGCAATAACTGATAGTTGACAGAACTAAGAAACGCGTCGTGCACTGAGTGCGCATCAGGTTTTAGAACAATATGGCGTGCACTATGCTAAAACATGTTGCTATATGTGGAGCTTCAAAGGATTGAAATAGTGTTCCATTTAGCCATGCTCACGCAAAATCAAGCTCGTTATTCCGAAGAAGTTCATCCACAACGGAAATCCAACAGCTGAGCAGTGGATCGACCTTGGTACTTTTAACCTCGAAGGCGCGTTTGATGATGAAGGGCGAGAATGCATCAACTAAGAACTCTCGAAGAAACCAATCTCTAACAGAACAATATCAAGTTTTATTTCTCGTGTGGACATATAATATTTCGTATTTGTAATTCCTTTGTTCTGTCAAAAATCGCTTAGGTTACAAAAACTATCGACATCATTTGGTGATCCATTCCGCCGTAGAAAGTGCTGCCGTAGTATCGTGTTTGCAATGGCATTTCTTGCATTGAATCTTCGCAAATCTTCCCGACGCGGAATCCGGGAACGCGCACCATCTGGATCAGTCAAAACCTATAATTTCAATACTCTCTCCAAACGTTTTTTCTGAGACCATTTTTATATCTATGGTTTCACTCTGACTCATACAAGTTGGAACGATTCTATATCGAACTGATTTAGAATATTGGGTCACAATAAGTGGTGATCTAAGGTTTTCGTACTAAAAAAATAAAACTATTCTTCGAGCCCTGAACCGGTTAAATGGCTTTGAATTCATACTCATTTTTGGATAAGAACAGAATTAAAATTTTCAATAAACTAGTTTTCTGTACTGGTCTGTTTTTATGTTCCACATAAAGGGATCAATCTGAATTCTAAATGAATCGGAAGAAATGAACGACGCCATCCGATTGCAACTGAGGATCGAGCGCTAGACGTGTACATGCAAAGACCGCCACATTTCAGTGTGCTATAGAGCACGACTTAAAGGGTTAAGATAATGATTACTTCAAAAAAAAATTTGCACAATAGCTCGCTTGATATCTGGACTTTTAAAAACGTGTTGGACCACAGGCGTCCATGAGCGTTTCCTCGTTATGATCAAAGTCGCAAATACTTATACTTTTACGTATGACAATGTTTACTCGATTACTAAAAAAAACCTTTACTGGGAAGAGAACGATGTACTACATACTGTAGCATCATGATAACACGCTTCTAATACAATAATGCAAGAAGGTCTAAAAGAGAAGTTCTTCTTCAATAAGCAGACACGAGGTTGTTATTACAGAATTTATCAGGATACAATAGCCGACGTTTCGGCGATTTCGCCTTCTTCAAAGCCTGCAAAGGTCAAATTGAGATGCCATCTATTCAGCCAAACACTTTCATAACCCTAGCAAATAAAACTTAACAAATAAACTTGTATTCACATAAGAAACAGCTTCATCTAAACACCTACGGCTTATTTGTTGTATTTAGGTTAGTTGATGGATAGCAACCGCACAGAGTAATACATGGGCGAGGACTGCGTCTGTGTCAGGCCATTGGACTAGCCTGAGGTATGGCGCCAGGTCACGCGTGATGACAAGACATTCCTCCTTGCGGTTCATTTTTGAATTTTTGGAATTGATCCAAAACGCTTCAAGAATTTTATGCACTGATGTTTTCGATTCGTGCGTGAGGATAGTGAGTCCTACTTCAAAATTTTCTCCGTGGTGTTCCTGCATCCAGTGAGCGCCTAGTGGAGTATTTTGTTTTAATTTAGGTTTACCGAATAAGCGTTCCTTTATGCAGACGCGGAGCGGTCTACCCGTTTCGCCAACGTATTCGTCCCCGCACGCTTTATAAGAGATCAGATAGACTGTACTCGAACTCATGCAATCGCTGTCTCTACCGTTAAGGCAAATTATGCAGTTTTTCGTTATACATAGACGATCATATAGGCGGTTGCGAACTAGCTGGTGTCTTAGAGTGTCCGATGGTATTTCCATTACTCTTACGGAATTCTGTAGACCGGCCCTTATTAAGCAACGTTTCATACCTGCACTTATTTCGTTTGAAATAAAGGGCAACAGGAACGGAGCATTGTTTTCGCTAGAGTTATCGCTGTGGCGTGGGTTTTCCTCTATGCCTATGCCGAGAAGCTACAGTTTCGTAACCATTTGAAATGGCTATTTGCCGCGCCAGTTTCGAGGAATCTTCCCTCTGATCTCTACCTGTGCCCACGCTGGCAGCGGTTGGAAACATATTTCTTATAAGCGCCCTTTTAGTGTGTGAGAGATGAGAGGAGAGATAATGAACCACTATATTCTTATTGCTCGGCTTTCGATACCATTTTGTGTTGTAAGCGTTTTCGAACGTTTAGAAATCGAAGCCAGTTTTCTTTCGGTTTCTCACGAGTGAATTTTATGCACTCTGACTGTTCGTTCAATAACTCGAAGCATTTGTCCATCTCCTCTTGTGTGGAGCAGATGACAAAACAGTCATCTATATACCTACAGTAAAGTAATGGACTGAGATCGATTTGTAGTGCTTCCACTTTAGACATAAAGCCTGCTAGGGTTATGAAAGTGTTTGGCTGAGTAGATCGCACCTCAATCTGACCTTTCCAGGCTCTGAAGAAGGCGAAACCGCCGAAACGCCAGCTATTGTATTCCAATAAATTCTATAATAACAACTTCGTGTTTGCTTATTGAAGAAAAACGCCGAATTATCAATCAATGGCTAAAAGAAAAACGGTCATGGGAATAAAAGAGAAATATTGTAAATTAGACACCTCATGTGATAAACCAAAAAAAGACGTAGCGCATAGCGTTTATCAATATCAATATCAGTATCAGCAAGGGATGCGCCGTGTGTTCGAGTTCATCAATCATTTTTAGAGGTGACTGTATGCATATCGAGCCTACGTAATAACTTGCGGTGTATCAAGTCTGTGCTGCTATCCTCGCAGGCAAGTCTGGTACCAATTTGCCGGCCCCGGATAGATGGAAGGCTTGTAGTATTCGAGGCGCGGAACCGAACTAAGGACTTTTTGTGTATCCGGGGCGTGGGACCGAACTAAGGACTATGTGTGTACCAATCGCTGCCCTAAATACGTACTCACTCTATGTGATACTGAAGAAAAACTGCTCATTTCAACATACGGGAAATGGAAAGAGCTTTTGTTTCTCCACCTAAACAATGGAGAGCATATGAGGTTTATAGTTGAAGAAGTATGGAGGACACGAAGCCTTCTACATTGCGTTCTATGGGAACGGTTATGTTTTTACAAAATTTTCACTGAAAAGTTGAACACCAAGACAAACTAAGCAGTGCGTGATGAACTTCACATGTTGACCCACGAATTGAAAAAGAGTAAACAGGGTGGGAGACTGTCTGATTATGTTATGGCAACTAAAATCGTTCATAGTAGGTCAGAGCTAAGAAAAATTTCTTTTCAACGTAATATTGAGGAGTTTCCTAATCCAAACTACCATGACGAAGAAACCGCATCATAGTGAATTAAAATTTGCCTTAACTGATAGCCGTTGCCTTAAAATTCTACACTTAAATAGACCACCGAAAGCTACGAAGCACATTCGTAATGTCTTCGAGGACTTTGTTACAGGCGTAAAGTGACCGCTTTCTAGTGAATAGACGAATAGGAAATTTGGTAGTTTCGAAAGGGTATCCTATAATGACATTTTATCCTCTCCGATACGTTCGACAGTGTCGACAGTGCCTGCTTTAAAATTATTAAGTGTTAGCAAAGATACGCCGTCACAACGGATCTTTCATTTGAAAGTCTGAGAAGATATCTCGACCCGTACAATTCCCAGTCTATACATGCTTAGAATCAAACATCACGAGGAAACAAAAGCCAGTTTTCATCAACACAACAAATCGATTTTTCATAAATTACATACCAAAACACAAAATTCTAGACCCATGGAAAATCAGCGAACTACGTTGCTCCACCAAAATAACTCGAAGGCGAGGGCAAAGAAACGTTAGCCGTTTAAATCTTTTTACTAACATCTTGTTTGCTTAATGATCCAAGGAAATATACGCAGTCATTTTACACGATATCATTCAAAAAATAGAGTTTAACGAGATGAGATTGAAAATCAATGAACAGCAGCTTTTAGCCTTTCGACATCTTTGCTTTGCTGATAGATTACAAGATTAACCACTTGCAAAGCTGACCAACTGAAAGCTGGTATCGAACACGCATGTGGGAAGATCACTCCTTGAAAATCTTAATAAAACGATGTAAAATAGAAATGGATTCGTCTCTGGTTATACACTCTTCCTCAGTGAAACGAATATCTCCAAATGTTGCAGCCATTTGAACCTCGGTTGAGAAGCTAACATAGCGAGCATTAGAACTCTGGAGCTGAACAGAAAATGAGCAGCTTGAGAATCTTACGAAAACATCAGTGATTTAGAGAAGAAAACAAAGAACAGCGGATTCCATCTCCAACCTCTCGAATAAAGAATTTATCCCTTATGGACGACATCTAGGAATCGTTGATAATCTGCGCGTATCGTAGTCTATGAAGAGGTATCGTAGAAGCTTTATGTATACTAAAGTGAGGTAAGGATTTCGAAATTCCGACATATATCGACGGTCGAAAATAATATGCGCTGCCGTATAAGCTATGGTATGGAATATGAAGAGCATTTGATACATCATGCGACTAAACAATAATCGCAAGACGAGAAAGAGTAGCAAACGGATTTCCACATGATAATTAGCGCACAAAAAGACCGTCGGTCCTATCGTGGATTTTCTAACGAAGATTACAGACGATAAATACGGTTGCCTTTGCATTCCTCAAAAGAATAGAACCAAGAAGGAAACTCCAGTATTGACAGCGACGAATGTTTGCTATACCGGTGACTTGCTCGAGTCACTCGACGATAGTGAGAGGTAATAAATGTGAACGAATAGTTATTTCAAGTGTAATGAACATCTATTCAATATACGTCACAAAAGATAATCTACTTATGGAACGTGTCTTGCAAAGGTTATTCGGAAGTGTGTCGGACGAGGTGGTAGATAAGAGGTTTTGTATATTAAAAAAAACAGCTATAACTGTGAGACATTAGTGGATGAATAGGCTAGAAATAAGGTCAAAACGTTACCTGTTCTTCTTGAACCGGATTAACTAACGTGTTTCGTATATACGCAATGATATTTGTGCAAAATGCATGAATATGCTTGTTTTTATACTGACTGCATACCGAGGACGGACTTACTCAAAAACTTGGAACTTAAGTGATTGGAGCTAAGAGGGAAGGTTCGTGGCCATTCCTAGCAAT